CCTATTATCAAAAATTGGAGCATGTTTGTTTCTCTCTGCCCCGTTCCTTCAGAATTTAGAACCTATCTGTGAGTATTCTTAACTTATGGCAATATAGTTGTTTGCATCCATGTAATAAGAATCCAGTTTTCTTTTGCAACAGGACACAATTGGAGAAAGCGGTTATTGTACCAAGGCTTTGACTGGAAGGGTATGCTTCCTTTTAAGGAGTTAATCTCAACTTACAGAGTCAATGAAAGCCCAGTGGGGAAACTGGTCTCATACCCTTGTCTACACAGTCCCTGTACAGGGTTCCTGACCTGTGGTCAGTAAAGAATGTCACTTTCTAACAGGTCTAGGAGCTCCAAGTTTATCTTGGGACCTTAAGAGGAGAGGACCACCCAAATCACAGGCATTTAAGGACACAAACCCATGGATGGGCTCAGCTTTAAAAGGTCTTATCTGAGGCTCCTCATTGAACAGACTTCCATCAAAGCCAGTCTAAAAGACCCATGTAAAACGAATTATTCTTGCTGCACTTTATGCAAATAATCAGGCCAAGTATAAGACTAAAGCCTATTTAAACAACTAATTCCTATGATTTCTTAACAAAAATGAGGACTGGAGAGAGAGAAATTATGTTCTAAAACTTATCATACATTTGTCACTAAATTCTAAACTCATTAGTTGTTTTTGAGTTTTTGCCTATGTTTTAGACTAACCCTGCTTGCTCCTGTGAACCAACCAGCAATCCCTGGCTGTAGCTCAGAAAGAACAAAAGGGATAGGTGACATAGAAATCTGGATCAATAGTTTAGTTCTGAGCAATTATCCTGCAGATCCTGCCAGGTGATGAGAATAAATAGCATGCCCCAGACTTGGAGGTTTTCTTTTTGGGAAAGTAAGACCAAGGGAGCTAACCAAAGCAGAGCGCCATGAACTCAAATCTCAGCAAGCATAACTACAGCTACCAGTTTCTGGATGTGTCACAAGATGTCCTTTCCTCTCCCTTGTTCAAGGAGGACCTAATTCCACAGCCTCACTTTAGCATTTGCTTATGATAAAGAGTCCATGCAACCCCCAAGATACATTCTTGTCCCAGACTCAGTTCCAAGTGTTGGATCAAAGCCCTAGGAAGAAAACTGGATCTGGGGAATCCAGGGGCAGAGAGCAACAGATGTTAAAAGGCACAGAGCACAGGTAAGTCTGGCTCATTTCTGCTGATTAAGCCAAGCCCAAGCTTCCTGTTTCATGGATAAAGGCTATATTAATATCCATAGCATAAATGTGATCCAGGGAACTCCAAGGCTACTGACAGCAGGGGAAACAGGGCATACATGGCTAAGAGTGGATGACTTCCCCGCCGAGCCCCCCTGCTTCACGAGTGCAAGCCACTTTAAAACCCATGCAA